GTTCATTGAACTTTCAAATGGTAATACATTTTATGGTCTAATTCCTCCAGCTATTGGAAACATGTCATCACTGATTGAGTTAAATCTAAATAGTTGTAATTTACGGGGAACCATTCCTACCTCTCTTGGAGGATTATCATCCTTGGAATCCTTAGATTTAAGCAATAATTTTTTAGAGGGATCCATTCCTACTTCTCTAGGGTCATTGTCATCCTTACAAATATTAGATTTAAGCAATAATTTTTTAGATGGATTCATTCCCACTTCTCTAGGGTCCTTTTCGTCCTTGCAAAATGAGCTCAGGGTGTTAGACCTTTCCAATAATAGGCTATTTGTAGAAATAATTGATTGGATTCCAAATGTTAATTTGCGAGAGATAAATCTCTCCAATAATCACATTATGGGACCGATCCCACATTTTTTTCCATCTTCACAACTAAGATACATAGACCTCTCATATAACTTTCTTTCAGGGCCTATGTTTAATGATTCATCCTCTAAGATTGGAGTAGTCAAAGCTCCATTGTGCCATTTAGAGAATTTACAACTCCTACATCTTCAACGAAACCAACTTTCTGGTACAATCCCTGATTGTTGGGGCACCTCAGAAGGCTTGAGTGTTATTGACATGTCCTCTAACAAACTCTGGAAGTATCCCCATGACTATTGGGCTACTTCCGGAAATGGCATATCTTAAACTGAACAACAAACTCATTAGAAGGCACTCTACCTCCAACACTAAATGAACTTTTGGGGTTGGTGATTTTGGATATAGGTGAAAACAAACTATCTGGGGAGGTTCCACATTGGGATGCAGATAGTCATCCTTTTTTGGAAATTGTCATCATGCGAGCGAATCAACTTGAAGGTGTTATTCCATCACAATTGTGTTCACTCCCTCGCCTGCAATTTCTTGACCTTGCAATGAACAATTTGACAGGAAGCATCCCTAGTTGTTTTGGCCATTTTAAGAGTATGAAGAAGTCACTGCAACTCAAAGCACCTTCTACTTACGAAATGGCTCTAGCACCAGCAACAGCACCATCAGAGCCACTAGAGAGTTTCAAAGGAGAAAATGCTATGGTGGTCTTGAAAGGGGTAGAACGACAATACACCACGACGTTGAAGCTTGTAGTGAACCTAGATCTCTCAAGCAATGGCTTAGTGGGGTCAATACCCGAGGAGCTTACAAATCTATCTAAACTCGTTGGTTTAAACTTGTCCAACAATCATTTGACAGGAATTATTCCTGGGTAATTCTCTGTTTCTCATCGTGAGAAACAAGTTTTGTTTCTCATGGGGTATGTGTCAAGATTTGGGGCTCCCACTCATGACACATATGCGGTCCCCACCAGTGAAAAACATCATATTATTTTCCAAAATGCCATTATGAGAAACAAAAGTGTTTCTCATAATGAGAAACTGGGGCTCCCTCATTATTCCTCTCAACATTGGTGAAATGGGATCACTTGAATCACTTGACTTGTCTATAAATAATCTCTCTGGAGCAATCCCATCTAGCTTATCAGCCTTAAATTTTTTAACCAGCTTCAACTTATCGAGCAATATGCTTCCACTAGTAGAAAAAAAGAAATAGGCAACCCCCCTATGGCAACGGTTCATGAAAACCGTTGCCAACTTAAGTGAGCGCCATTTTTAATATCCCCCTATGGCAACGGTTAACCGTTGCCAATTGATTAATTTATTTTTTTTTTTAAAAAAGGGGGTAGAGTTGGCAACGGTTAACCGTTGCCAATTTAAAAAAAAACCCCGGGTTTTTGTATACTACTGTATACTCCCTCATTGCTTGAACTCTCTGTTTTTGCTTTCACCTCCAAAAACGCGCGCCTTCCCTCAGCTCTCCCCTAACCATTCCTCCATTGAAGCTTCCATTGAAGGGTCCATTGAAGCTTTTGCCTCCTCACGCACGTAGTGGGTCTGGGTTTGTTCTTCTCCTCACGCGCACTTAGCTCTTCTCTTCTGCCTCCCTCCATATATGCTTGCATTATTGAAGTATGTAGCAGCTTAGACCTAGCTAGGTAAGTCGTAATAGCGCTCCTCCATTGTTATGGTTTTTTGAGGAATTGGTCTTTATTAATATTGACAAGTTTCTTGTAATTGCTAGGGTTTGTCAATAATTGCTACTTAACTCCTCCATTTATACGCGCAAGGCTCAGCTCCACCTCCATTGAACGCATAAGGCTCCCCCTCACAAATGTAAGGCCTTTTTTAGTTGTTATTGTTGATGTTTATAAGCTGAGAATTGTATTTAGTACAAGCTACATTTACCTATATTTCTAAATTGTTATGAGAACTTTATTTATCATCACTAATAAAGTTGAGAATTTTATTTTGTTTTATAGGATAAAATAGTCCTTTTTATTTAAGAGAACAAAGTTGAGAGTTTAGGGTTTTAGGGTTTAGGGTTTGAATATACTTTTCTTCATGAGTTGCTTCTCACTATATATATGCGTTGTTTCAGGCTAAGAAATTGGTTTCAAGGGCTTCTAGGGTAAGATCATCAGTTTGGAGAGTGGGCGGAAAACATCCTGGTATCTTACTCTGTCTGTCCTTGTTCTTGCTCACTAATATCATTCTTATCTTTTCCCTTTATCTGGTTTTCTATTTGTGTTCTATATAGGTTACAATAAAAAGATTATCAGGAATTTTTGGGCGAAAGCATAGACCTTGGCATTGACCTTCTATTTGAGAGTGTTGAGCCTTTATAGGTACTCAGGTATATATATATATAACTTTATGTGCTTTAAATAAGTTCTTGGTTGCACATTTTTGTGGAGATGGTGTGTGATATAACTTTAGTGCATCTTCTATCATGATGTGTGATTAATCCATTGTTTTTTAATTGATTGCATGTATCATCATATGCCTAGATACCCGTTCAAGGCTTTTCTCATTAGGAGAAAGTCTTGAATAGTCCCCGGTTGGGACTGTTCTTGAACGTTACTCTCACTTAGGTGGTAGATGTATGTCCTTTTTTTTCGATTTTAAGGAACATCTTGGCTTACCATTTCCTCGATCACCATGTTCTCTGGGTACATATGTGGGTAAGTAATTACCTACGTCGTGTACTTGGAGAACTGGGGGGAAATGCTGCCGGATTTTCCTTAAAATTGGAAATCTGACATACATTCACTAGTGAGAGTAAACGTTCAAGGATGAGTTAGGTTGGAGTGATAAGGACCCTTTGGAAGCATATATGCATTTTTGTATCTATATGAATGTTATATGCATGTTGTGTGTTTGAATTTGATTAATATATATAATAGATGTAGCAATTATACATTATTTATAATATGTTGCCATGTTTAGAGACAATTTACTTAATGGAGAAGGATCGTGGATGGATGTTATGGTAGACGTGATACATTGAATTCTTTAATGGGGTTCAAGAGTTTTGCGAGACGATTTCATCTTATCAGCGCAGAATGGGTTTCGAGTGCCTCTATTGTCCTTGTGTTGATTGTAATAATGTGAAGGTGGTCAATAGTGTTGATATCATTTAGAGATCATGTAGTTTGTCGTGGGTTTAGGGTTAAATATCATGTGTGGATTTGGCATGGTGAATAAGGAGAGTACAGTGGGGATGTTATTGGTATGATGTGCATGATGATAAAAGCAATGATATCCGTGTGGACGAGGAATACAAGAATGATGAACATATTGTGATGATGGTGCTGAGGAGGGATTTGAGGATGATCATGTGGATGAGGTTGAGGATGAAGGTGTGGATGAGATGATGCGTGGTTTTGAAGGTGACGTGTTTGAGTCATTATTGGAGGCTTCTAAAAAAGCCTTTGTATCCTGGTGCCAAAATACTCCAAACTAAGTGCCGTGCTAACGCTTTTTAACATTAAGTCGAAGCATGGGTGGACGGACAATAGTTTTACTTCCTTGTTGAGCGTGTTAAGTGAGATGTTGCCCGATGGGAATGAAATTCCAAAGTCTTACTATTACGCTAAGAAGCTCATGTGTCCATTTGGTTTGGAGTATAAGAAGATACATGCATGTCCTAATGATTGTATTCTTTACCGAAATGAATATGAACAATTGGAGGAGTGTCCACGATGCAAGAAGTCGCGCTACAAGCGCAAGAGTTGCAATGCTTGTACGAAGGGACCTCCTGCTAAGGTGTTATGGTATCTTCCCATAATTCCAAGGTTTAAGAGTCTGTTCTCTTTACCAAAAGACGCTAAAAACTTGAGGTGGCATGCAGAGGGAAGAAAGAAAAACAGAATGCTGAAGAATCCAGCCGACTCCCCGCAATGGAAGAACCTTGATATGAAGTTTGGGGAATTTGGTGACGAAGTCAGAAATTTAAGGCTTGGTTTGTGCACGGACGGGATGAATCCATTTGGCACTCTTAGTACCCAGCACAACACATGGCCGGGTACTTTTAGTGATCTACAATTTGCCTCCTTGGTTGTGCATGAAACGGAAATATGTAATGCTTTCACTTTTGATATCAGGGCCAAGGCAACCTGGAAACGACATAGATGTGTATCTTGGGCCACTGGTTTGATGATTTGAGAAAGATGTGGGACGAAGGGGTTTCCGTGTTTGATGCTCATAAGAATAAGATGTTCACATTGCGTGCAGCTCTTATGTGGACCGTTAATGATTTTCCTGCATATGGCAACTTGTCTGGGTATAAGAATAAAGGGAAAAAGGCATGTCCCATTTGTATTAATGATACGCCAAGCAGACGCCTTGATCATTCTCTCAAAGAGGTGTATTTTGAGGACAAGAAGGTTGCTCAGGCGCGATCACCCGTACCGTCGGCAGAAAAAGGCTTTCGATGGGACAGTGGAAGAGGGGACTGCTCCTAGGCCACTAATTGATGAGGAGGTTTACGCTCGGGTTAAGGGTGTACGAACATTATTTGGGAAATCTGAAAAAGCGGCGGAATCAGTTGCTCTCTTTAAAAAAGAATCAATCTTTTGGTTGCTCCCGTACTGGAAAGAACATGACGTTAGGCACTGTCTTGATGTAATGCATATAGAGAAGAATGTGTGTGACGCTCTTGTGGGAACGCTGATGAATATTCAAAAACAAAGACAAAGGACGGAAAGGGTGCACATTTAGATTTGGAAAAGATGGGGGTGCGTCAAGAATTGTGGGTTCAGCAAAGGTTTAGTAAGGGAAAGGAACATGAAAAGGAAAAAGAAATGGGTTCGAAAAAGGGAAAGGAGAAGAGCAAGGGAAAGGGAAAGCTGCGGATGCGTCGAAGAAGAAAAATGAGGGAAAAGCCAAGGAGGGGAAGGCCTACTTACCTCCGGCTTGCTACACATTGTCAAGGGTAGAAAAACGGATGTTTTGTGCATGTCTGTATGGAATTAAGGTTCCATCAGGGTACGCATCTAACATGAAAAGATTTGTATCCTTAAATGGAGAATTGAAGCTGACAAGTATGAAATCCCATGATTATCATGTTCTGATGCAAGTTTTTCTACCAATTGCAATACGTGGTATTTTACCAAAGCACGTGAGGGAAGCTATTACAAGCCTCTGTTCGTTTTTCAATACAATATGTAGCAAAGTGCTTTGATCCTTGTACACTTGATGCTTTACAGGCGGATGTGATTGTGACTTTGTGAAAATTTGAGATGTACTTCCCACCCTCGTTTCTCGACATAATGGTGCATTTGATTCTTCATTTGGTGCGTGAGATTAAGTTGTGCGGTCCAGTGTTCATGAGGTGGTGCTATCCTTTTAAAAAGACACATGGGTACATTGCAAGATAAAGTTAGGAATCGGGCTCACTCGGAAGGAAGTATGATTCAAGGGACCGTGGCCGAGGAGATTGGTAATTTTGTGGCCGACTATATAGCCGTTGCTGAACCTATTGGAATTCCTACTTCTCGACATGAAGGGAGACTTGATGGTCATGGCACAATCGGATCAAAACGAATGTCACCTGATCGAGAGAAGTTCTTACAAGCACACCTATATGTGTTGCACCATGTTGCAGATGTTCACCCATATTTAGACGAGCACATGGCTAGTTTGCGTGATGAGTTTCCGTCGAAAGGTGAGAGAGCACTGATGCACTTACACAATAAGAAGTTTGTGAGTTGGTTTCGTGATCGAGTGATGGGTGGAATGGATGAGGGTGTTACACCTACAGTAAGGTGGCTTGCTTATGGTCCTAGGGATGATGTTCGCTCATTTGAGGGATATGACATAAATGGGTACACATTTTGGACTGACGTCAAGATTTAAAATCATCCTCGACCCAAAACAGTGGTGTAACGGTTGTGGCATCGTCAAGGAGTTTGCAAGTGCTAAGGATAAATCACCCGTTGATGCAGAGTTGTCATACTACGGTCGAATTCAAGAAATATGGGAGCTTGATTATTGTGACTTCACGATTGCTCTTTTCCGGTGTAAGTGGGTTGATAATATCAGGCGTAACGTCAAATTTGATGACTTTACTCTTGTAGATCTTGGCAACCTGAATGATAGTGCGGAACCATTCATCCTTGCATCTCAAGCTAAGCAGGTGTTTTACGTATCTGACCCTGCCGACTCAAAATGGTCTATTGTGCTAGCCGGCAAAAGAAGAATCCTTGCGTTGGAGATGTCGAGGATGAGGAAGAATATGATGCCTTTGATGACTCGGCACATTTTCACTGTTCCTAGACCTGCTGTGCCAAATGAGATAGACGACCAAGCCAATTACATGAGATCAGACCACGATGAAGGAATATTAGATTGAGGTACTGTATATTTTCTGTTAGTTTGAATTACAGGCGTAGAAAGAATTAAAAAATCACATTTTAGGTGAAAATGAATGAAATTGTTGAATTTCTTGCCCATTTTTCTTATATTCTTTATAATGAATAAAAGTAACTTGCTTCACCATTTTCTATGTTTATTTGTATTATAATTCAGCAATTTATATAAGATTATAAGTTTACCTTACAATTCAGCAGCTAATAACGTGTTATGTTTGTAATGACAAGTTTTAACATCTAATGGCGGACGATCAATACCGTGTTCGAGTAGAGGATGTTGAATCTAATGATGATGATTCATCTAATGATGGGGACCAGCTGTATGATGTGAACAAGGAACCTGTTATAGGTGAGCCAGAAGATCAGGCGCAAGATGTATTGGAGAGAATGATAGATGAGTTTGAAATTGCGGCTGAGCAAGCGCCTCCAATCGATAATGCCATTATGGAGTCGTTTCGGGAGGATCAAAGTGGAGGGGGGGTGCAGGCACCAGCGAAGAAAAAGATGAGGGGTCCGACGACAGTTTTCAAGAAACCTGTCGGTCCTATGGTCTTGGAGTATGACAGGGTAGGCCAACCCTCAGGTAAATGGCAACGTCAGTATGCTGGTCAAGTTGGGATTTGTGCGCGCAAAATCCCCATTACGCTTCGTATGAGCGACGTACCTACAGGCTTGATTGACACGTTTTGGAATGATACCAGAGTAAGTTTTTTTTTATTCCACATTATTTATAAACAATTTCAATTTATTGTTATGTTATGGGCAAACTAATAATGTTTGTTATTTGTGCTTGCAGAGTCTATTTAACATTCCAAATGAGTACGCCAAGCGAAGGGTGTTTGAATCCTTACTTGCGGCAAGATTCAGAAGCTTCAAGTGTTACTTAGTTCGTCGGTTTATCACAAAGAAACTTGTGAGGAAACCAAAGAACAAGAAAGGAGATGCCAGTGATGATGATGTCATCGATGAAGAGAAACTCCCATGGCAAATATGGCCTAGCATATCGAAGGATGATTGGGAAGCTTTCGTTCTTCAAAAATGTAAAAAAGAAGAAATTGTAAGTTTAAAGAACTCTGATGAAAATTGTGTTGTAATTTATCGTCTTTTTTATTAGTAATGAAACTAACATATCTTTTTATGTAGGAAATGAGGGAGCAGAATTCCAAGAATGCATTGCAAAAGCAATACCACCATCATATGAGAGCAATGACGTATGATGAATGGAGGGATACATGGGTGAGTGAAGGAGTATACCCCTCTGCTCTTCTAGGGTCCTCCACAGCGCCATCTGACTCCACGACCAGTACTTTGGTGAGTCGTGCTGGGGATTTCTTTTGCTCTATGCATTCGCGGGACAAGAAAACCGGAAAATGGTCCATCAAGGCTCCGGAAACCAAAGAAATGACAGATAAGCTAGTAAGCAACTATGACCCAGTGAACTACATTATTCATTTGCATGTATATCACTTTATATAAACACTTACTTCATGTTGCCATTTTGTTTTTGCTAAAGCTTGAGTACACTGGAGAGCTTGTTGAAGGAAAGCTCGTCCCGACGGTAGAGAAGGACCCCTTCACCTTGGCTATGGAAAGCCCTACCATCCGGGACGGGTATTAGGTGTTGGGGGGGAGCTTGCTAGGATGGGAGAAGGTAATGGGTCCCGAATATATCAAATCTGGAAGATCCCGAGAAAGTGTGAACTCGCCACAGAACTTCGATGCCACGGTGGCATCAATTAAAGAACAAGTGCGCAATGAGATGCGCGAAGAGTTCAATGCATGGGCGAAGCAAATGAATTTGCCGACCATGCCCTTTTCCTCGACAACACTGGTCGACTCAAGTAGCCACCCACGAAGAGAAGGAGAACAGGAGATAAATGCACGCGAGGAGGTACATGATTAGAATTCAACTCTATAAGTTTTGATATGTTGAGTCACATGGGTACGTTTCTAATTAATGTTTCACTATCAATACACTATTACAGATTGGTACTCCTTCACATGCGTACTCAAGGGGGCTTGATACTCCGACACCTCATGACTTTCCTATTCTACAAGTGATTTTTTACTTACTTTTTTGGATTGTGTTGTGTTTGTGTTGTCGTTGTTGGTGGTGTTGATGGTGATGTTGTTGTTATTCTTTTATAATTGCTGTTTCTAAGATAATGTTGTTGTTCGTTTCAATCAATTTGCAAAGTTCTCCTCGGGATTGCTACACTCCTATTAGCAAATCACGAAAAACCCATGCTCACATTTTCCCGATCTGTGATACTTTGACCTTTAATCTCCTCGATCTTGGTCAAAGTGAGGGCTAACTGTAGACGTCAAAATGTCGCACCCCCAAATAGTTGAGCCTATGATGTTGTGTGGGTTGGTGTGCTATTGTGTTGTTGGTTTTGGTGTTGCTGCCAGCAACAACAGTCAGCAGATCCAACAACAGAAACCAGCAACAGCTTCAACATTCAGTAACAGCAAGCAACAAGGCAGCAAGATCAGCAGCCTGCGCAGTCAGCAGATCAGCAGCCTGTAGTCAGCAGATCAGCAGACCAGCAGATCAGCAGCCTGCAGTCAGCAGATCAGCAGAGCAGCCTCGATCAGCAGCCTGTAGTCAGCAGATCAGCAGGCAGCAGATTAGCAGCCTGCAGTCAGCAGATCAGCAGACAACAGATCTGTTGCTGGATTTGTGTTGCTGTTGCTCTTCCTTCTCCTTCTCCTTCTCCTTCTATTTCTCATTGGGAAGCCAAAAATGAGGCTGCAGCTGCACTGCAGCAGCGGTGCAGCTGCTGCCCTTTCCGCCCGGTTTTTTTTTTTTTTTTTTTTTTTTTTTTTTTGTGTTTGCACTCGTTTTGGTTTTTTTTTCGTTTTTTTTTTTTGCACCTAAGATACTTAGTTATGAATATTTATGTCTTGAAACAACATAAAAAAAGCAATTTTACAAGTTTTAGGTTCATTTCAAGTGTTAATGGTTCAAAATGGGCAAAATGACTTCTAACTTGCCCATTTTTCATGATTTTAGCTCAACGCTTGAATTTAACTCCTATATTACACCTAAGATACTTAGTTATAAATACTTATGTTTGAAACAATATAAAAAAGCAAATTTACAAGTTTTAGGTTCATTTAGAGTATTTACGATTCAAAATGGGCAAAATGACTTCTAACTTGCCCTTTTTTCATGATTTTAGCTCAATGCTTGAATTAACTCCTATATTACACCTAATATAATTAGTTATGAATATTTATGGCTTGAAAAAATATAAAAAAAGCAAATTTACAAGTTTTAGGTTCATTTAGAGTATTTACGGTTCATCTAATGATGGGGACCAGCTGTATGATGTGAACAAGGAACCTGTTATAGGTGAGCCAGAAGATCAGGCGCAAGATGTATTGGAGAGAATGATAGATGAGTTTGAAATTGCGGCTGAGCAAGCGCCTCCAATCGATAATGCCATTATGGAGTCGTTTCGGGAGGATCAAAGTGGAGGGGGGGTGCAGGCACCAGCGAAGAAAAAGATGAGGGGTCCGACGACAGTTTTCAAGAAACCTGTCGGTCCTATGGTCTTGGAGTATGACAGGGTAGGCCAACCCTCAGGTAAATGGCAACGTCAGTATGCTGGTCAAGTTGGGATTTGTGCGCGCAAAATCCCCATTACGCTTCGTATGAGCGACGTACCTACAGGCTTGATTGACACGTTTTGGAATGATACCAGAGTAAGTTTTTTTTATTCCACATTATTTATAAACAATTTCAATTTATTGTTATGTTATGGGCAAACTAATAATGTTTGTTATTTGTGCTTGCAGAGTCTATTTAACATTCCAAATGAGTACGCCAAGCGAAGGGTGTTTGAATCCTTACTTGCGGCAAGATTCAGAAGCTTCAAGTGTTACTTAGTTCGTCGGTTTATCACAAAGAAACTTGTGAGGAAACCAAAGAACAAGAAAGGAGATGCCAGTGATGATGATGTCATCGATGAAGAGAAACTCCCATGGCAAATATGGCCTAGCATATCGAAGGATGATTGGGAAGCTTTCGTTCTTCAAAAATGTAAAAAAGAAGAAATTGTAAGTTTAAAGAACTCTGATGAAAATTGTGTTGTAATTTATCGTCTTTTTTATTAGTAATGAAACTAACATATCTTTTTATGTAGGAAATGAGGGAGCAGAATTCCAAGAATGCATTGCAAAAGCAATACCACCATCATATGAGAGCAATGACGTATGATGAATGGAGGGATACATGGGTGAGTGAAGGAGTATACCCCTCTGCTCTTCTAGGGTCCTCCACAGCGCCATCTGACTCCACGACCAGTACTTTGGTGAGTCGTGCTGGGGATTTCTTTTGCTCTATGCATTCGCGGGACAAGAAAACCGGAAAATGGTCCATCAAGGCTCCGGAAACCAAAGAAATGACAGATAAGCTAGTAAGCAACTATGACCCAGTGAACTACATTATTCATTTGCATGTATATCACTTTATATAAACACTTACTTCATGTTGCCATTTTGTTTTTGCTAAAGCTTGAGTACACTGGAGAGCTTGTTGAAGGAAAGCTCGTCCCGACGGTAGAGAAGGACCCCTTCACCTTGGCTATGGGAAAGCCCTACCATCCGGGACGGGTATTAGGTGTTGGGGGGGAGCTTGCTAGGATGGAGAAGGTAATGGGTCCCGAATATATCAAATCTGGAAGATCCCGAGAAAGTGTGAACTCGCCACAGAACTTCGATGCCACGGTGGCATCAATTAAAGAACAAGTGCGCAATGAGATGCGCGAAGAGTTCAATGCATGGGCGAAGCAAATGAATTTGCCGACCATGCCCTTTTCCTCGACAACACTGGTCGACTCAAGTAGCCACCCACGAAGAGAAGGAGAACAGGAGATAAATGCACGCGAGGAGGTACATGATTAGAATTCAACTCTATAAGTTTTGATATGTTGAGTCACATGGGTACGTTTCTAATTAATGTTTCACTATCAATACACTATTACAGATTGGTACTCCTTCACATGCGTACTCAAGGGGGCTTGATACTCCGACACCTCATGACTTTCCTATTCTACAAGTGATTTTTTACTTACTTTTTTGGATTGTGTTGTGTTTGTGTTGTCGTTGTTGGTGGTGTTGATGGTGATGTTGTTGTTATTCTTTTATAATTGCTGTTTCTAAGATAATGTTGTTGTTCGTTTCAATCAATTTGCAAAGTTCTCCTCGGGATTGCTACACTCCTATTAGCAAATCACGAAAAACCCATGCTCACATTTTCCCGATCTGTGATACTTTGACCTTTAATCTCCTCGATCTTGGTCAAAGTGAGGGCTAACTGTAGACGTCAAAATGTCGCACCCCCAAATAGTTGAGCCTATGATGTTGTGTGGGTTGGTGTGCTATTGTGTTGTTGGTTTTGGTGTTGCTGCCAGCAACAACAGTCAGCAGATCCAACAACAGAAACCAGCAACAGCTTCAACATTCAGTAACAGCAAGCAACAAGGCAGCAAGATCAGCAGCCTGCGCAGTCAGCAGATCAGCAGCCTGTAGTCAGAAGATCAGCAGACCAGCAGATCAGCAGCCTGCAGTCAGCAGATCAGCAGAGCAGCCTCGATCAGCAGCCTGTAGTCAGCAGATCAGCAGGGCAGCAGATTAGCAGCCTGCAGTCAGCAGATCAGCAGACAACAGATCTGTTGCTGGATTTGTGTTGCTGTTGCTCTTCCTTCTCCTTCTCCTTCTCCTTCTATTTCTCATTGGGAAGCCAAAAATGAGGCTGCAGCTGCACTGCAGCAGCGGTGCAGCTGCTGCCCTTTCCGCCCGGTTTTTTTTTTTTTTTTTTTTTTTTTTTTTTTTTTTGTGTTTGCACTCGTTTTGGTTTTTTTTTTCTTTTTTTTTTTTGCACCTAAGATACTTAGTTATGAATATTTATGTCTTGAAACAACATAAAAAAAGCAATTTTACAAGTTTTAGGTTCATTTCAAGTGTTAATGGTTCAAAATGGGCAAAATGACTTCTAACTTGCCCATTTTTCATGATTTTAGCTCAACGCTTGAATTTAACTCCTATATTACACCTAAGATACTTAGTTATAAATATTTATGTTTGAAACAATATAAAAAAGCAAATTTACAAGTTTTAGGTTCATTTAGAGTATTTACGATTCAAAATGGGCAAAATGACTTCTAACTTGCCCTTTTTTCATGATTTTAGCTCAATGCTTGAATTAACTCCTATATTACACCTAATATAATTAGTTATGAATATTTATGGCTTGAAAAAATATAAAAAAAGCAAATTTACAAGTTTTAGGTTCATTTAGAGTATTTACGGTTCAAAATGGGCAAAATGACTTCTAACTTGCCCATTTTTCATGATTTTAGCTCAATGCTTGAATTAACTCCTATATTACACCTAAGATACTTAGTTATGAACATTTATGGCTTGAAACAATATAAAAAAAAGCAAATTTACAAGTTTTAGGTTCATTTAGAGTATTTACGGTTCAAAATGGGCAAAATGACTTCTAACTTGTCCTTTTTTCATGATTTTAGCTCAATGCTTGAATTAACTCCTATATTACACCTAAGATACTTGGTTATGAACATTTATGACTTGAAACAATATAAAAAA